CTCAAAACATTCACAGGGTCACAGTCTGCCTCCACCTGTGCCCAGGAAAAGGGAGGGAGGACACACATAGTGCATGCTCCAGGACCTCCAGGAGTCACTTTGTAAGCACCTACTGCATGCCCTGCCTGCAAGAGGGGAGAGTCAGCAAAGAAAGGAGACCAGGCCTGGTGCAGTTGCTATGATTGCCTTTCAGTTCCTTATAACAGTCCTGTGAAGTGGGCATCCTCATTGTCTCCATGGTATAAAGGAGGAGCTGAAGCTCAGAGAGGACAGATAATTGCCCAAGGCTGCAGAGCTGCTAAATGGCCACAGTGCAAGGGTGCTGTGGCCTTCCCTTTAGTCCCTGTAGGCTTTGCACCTGCTTGTGGCCCACAGTGGGCAGGGAATGTCTGTCTGTTCACCTGGCACTCCTGTGCCATTTATCAGTCAGTGGGCCCAACATTTACCTGGCAGGAGGAAGGCCAAGGGCAAGGAGGAGGAGGGAACCTCCTACCCAGAATCTCACATGACACAAGCAAAATGGTCCCTGCTGAGTCAGATCCTGATGAAGCCGAGCAACCCCACTTCATCTAAAAGCATAGAAGCCGGTATGATGGCACATGCCTGCAACCTCGGTACTTTTGGAGGCTGAGGCAAGAGGACTGCAAGTTTGAGCTCAACGTGGACACCTTACGGAGCTAGTAAGACCCTGTCTGAAAATAAAATAAAAAAGACTGGGTATGTAGCTCAGTGCAAAGGCCTGGAGTTCAATTCCCAGTACTGAAATAAAAGAAGAAGTATCACATGAGAACCACTGCAGGTAGTGAGCAAGTCTGTCTCTGCTCCTATAAGGACCTGCGCTGGGGAAAGTATGGCGCAGGTAGAACTTGGAGAAAGTGTGAACTTGGAAGTCAGACAGTCTCAGGGGAGGGAGGTGTTGTTCTCTTTACAAGATCATCCATGGAGTCAGAGTGTAGGAGGCACAGTTGGCACCTTGGCGGGGCTGGGAGGGGGGTGGAACAGTGCATCACTCATTCATCCACTTGCTAATTCATTTGTTCACTGAGGCATGCTCACTGAGCAGCTTGTATATCACAGGCACTTCCCAGATTGGGGTGGGAGGAGAAGGATGCATCATAAATAAAACAGCCAAAGTCTATGTTCTCAATGAGATGTCCTCATGCATGTGCGTGTGTGTGTGTGAGAGAGAGAGAGAAGAGAAAGAACCCATGCGTGTGCACACATCCCAGCATTTGCATGACTGTGTGTGTCTGGGCATGCAGGAACATGGATTTCCTGGAAGAGAAAAAGGACCCTGGGTAGAAACCAGAGCAGGCAGAGCCTCCTTTTCAGCCCTGGCCTATAGACCTTGCCAACAGCTTCTGCAGAGAGGGGAGCTTTGAAAAATCCTCTGTTCTCTAGAAGCCCCCCTCCTTGGCACAGCCTTCTTCCCTGCTGCCTGTTCTTCCTGTCTCAGGGGCTGCTCCTGCCTCTACATACTGGCTGGGGCATTGTCAGGACACACCACTCCCAGGCCCAAGGTCAGCGGAAACAGATCCCCAGGGCTGCAGGTGAGGCCAGCCTGGGCACCGCAGGGAGGCTTCTTTTTATTGCTCACCCAGCCACTTGCTGAAAAATTAATTTGCAAATGAATCACATTTATTGAGACCTTCTGGATTGGATAACAGATGCAGCCTGGCCTGTTCCAGAAGACCATCCAGAGACGAAATCGGAAAGCAGTCTGTGGACAAAAGGAGGCCTGCTGGCTGAGCCTCACTACCGGTTTGAACTCCTCACTGCAGGCAGGTCTGCATGTTTGGAAGACGCTCTGGAACAGAACCGGGGCTCCAGGCTCCAGCCTGCGAGGGCTCCCGGAGTGGAGGCTGGGCTGGGCAGCCCGACACTCCCGACCAGCTCTCTGGATTGGTTCTCCTGTAGCCCCTCTGAAACAACCAGGAGCCGGCTCTCCCCTCCCTGGCCATCTGCTTGAAGCATCTGGTGATCAGGTGCAAGCCCCACACCGGAGCATTCAAGCTGAAATGTGCAGTCACCTTGCCACCCACACTGGCTTTTGTTACGGCGCCAAGCTGCCCCTCTTTGTGTTGGGGAGAACAGTTTGGGGATGGAAATCCGACTGCTGGCGCCGGGAGTTCACCACTGCTGCGCCAAGATCCTGCAGCCCGAGGCTAGCCCAGTCTCCAGACCTGGCTGTCCCCTCCCACCAAGGTCTGTGACCATGTCTCTAGCAAAGGGCTGGGGCTTCCAAGAGCAGAGGCAAGACTGGTCTAGGATATTCTCTGTACCCAGCTGGGTAAAGCATATGTCTTAAGATATTTGGGTTCTGCCACAGACAAGAAATAGACAGCCATGTTACTGTCATGTCTCCACCTTTATTTAATAAAGAAAGAGAGTTGCTCCCAATACTACTGTTGACCATGAGTGAGGAAGGCTCTTTAGGGGGGATTCTCAGGAGTCACCCAAAAGTAGGGTGCAGGGAAGAAGCTCGGGGTTTGCTCCAGGGGCCACCTCCTTCTCCCACGCCAACTGACTGCCTAGAGGGCAATGTGGGTGTTCCTAATGTTGAAATACCCTTTGCTTCAGCTTGAAGGGGAGCACTCAGGGTCAAGGTGGGATGATTCTTCCCAAGGAAGAACCCACTGCATTTCCTGAACCGCTGAGGATGCTGTTGATAGCGAGGACTTCCTGCAGGGAGATGCGTTTTGTTTCTTGTAAACGTGGCCCAATGTGCCACCTCCCTAAATGAATGGGGGTAGAGGAAGAGGGAGTCTGTCCTCCCTGGGTCCAGAGACACTGAGCGTTGAATTTACAGAGTTTTTCTCCTGGGGTTGGAGGCTATAAGGTAAGGGTTTTCTCCAAAAGGAGAGAGAGGCCCCAGTTAAACTGTGAATAATAGCTTATTGGAAGCACTCTCATTTTTGTTTGTTTTTAATTGCTCAGTGTGATCTTAAAGATGAAAGTAATATCCTCCTCTATGCTGGGGATTCATTTTCTGTTTCTCTTTCTAGATTAGCCATAGGTATTACTCTAGAGTGTTCTTACATGAAGAAACAATTTTATTAGAAACCAGAAGTACTACCCAGGTCCAATGTATGTGTCCCTATCTGATCCAATAAGTCTTTCAGTGTGATGCTGCTGAGGCGGCTGCCTGCTGAAATTAGCAATATGTTTTGCTCTTGAAAGACACATAGAAATAAAGAAAGACGTCAAAGTCTTCAACTACTTTCATCAGTTCATCTCATTCCAAAGGAATCTTCTTTAGATCACGTAGAAGACTGAATTCAGAATGGGGAGTTGAGGGATGGGGACAGATCAGGAAGGGGGGTGCAAATTCCTAAATTCCCAGGTAGCCCTTGATGTAGCTATCTGCTGGTATTCAGCTAGCTACCCATTTGCTTTCAGAGACTTTCCAGGAGGGGCGATTGGAGAAGAAAACAATTTTAATGGTGAGAGTTTTGCAACTCATAATTTCACAATGCATCTGTTTCCTTAGAGGGGAAAATATAAACAGCCACATCCCCAATCTTGGATTCTGGAAAGTATGAGAGATAAGGTGGTTCAAAGGTATAGAAGAAGCTGAAAGTAGTTTCTGACCGAATCCAGCTTTTAAGTGTTTCCATGTGATGGCTCCAGTGTATTTATGTGAGATTTTAAACACACCCCCAGAGATCTTTGATTTCAAACATATAATCTTTTCTTCCCCCTTTTAACCAGCACATACGTGTAACATGTGTGCTATTTCCCTTAGAAAACATTGCTTGTCTTGACAAGATCCCCTGAAGTGACTCCCCCTTGCCCCACCTCCGTCAGACTCCCTTCCCAGTGCCCTGGGCTAAGGGAAGGTGGTTGCTGTTGCATCCTGATGCTGCTTGGCAAGCCATCCCTGCTGGCACAGAAGTCCCCATGTCTTTCTCGCTCGCCTCTTGGTTGAGCATAAAGACAAGGTCCCCTTGGCTTAAGGCGCGGCGCTGGCTTTCTCCAACGGTTGTGCCGTAAGTTAGCAGGATAAGTTTGACAGTAATTTAATTTTCATTGACAAATGCTGTCATAATATTGAGGAAAAAGTGAGATATTGTATCAACAGTAGTGGTCGACGCTCAGCCAGTCATATGGACCGGGCGAACACCATATGCTTCCTCCAAACCCGCCTTGGAAAGCTCTGGCTAAGAACTTGACAAGCTTAAGATACCAGTCAGGAAAAACGATTACCCTTGAGAAGTTCTTGCCATGTTTCCAGTTTCCTAATTTCCTAGGGAAAAAAAAAAGAGAATCATTTTCTGGGTTTCAGCCAGCATCCACCATACCCCTGGTCAGGGCAGCCCCTCTAGTGGATCTCAGAAGGTATTTGCTAAGGTGAGTCTGTTTGCCACACACTGTGACCTGTGGCAACCAAATAGATTCCCTGCTGACAACTTCACATAATCAAAAAAAGTCCTGAAATGCTGAAACACCATTGGTTTCTTGCTGGTCTATGTTTGTCCCAGCTCTGGTTCTTACCACTGAATGCCAGTAGATGCTGTACCCACGGAGGCCAGGATTAAATCTGTACCCACGTGACATACTCAGACTCTCTCCAGAAAGGGCATGTAACTTTTTTGCATTGGAAATGCAGCTCATGATGGCTATATCTCCACACCCCTTTCAGAACTGGGAGGATCAGAAGTGGGAGGAGATTCTGTGTGTTTGTGTACCTGGGTGCATGTGTGTCAGACTAAAGTCATGGCCAAAATCTCAGCTGGATAATTTGTGCAAAAAAAAAAAAAAAGAGTAAATCAGTCTTCATTTGCTCTGTTTTCCTAGCATTGGGCTTATTTTAAATTGGTTACTATACATAGAAAAATCAATGGATGAGTAAAGTTACAAACAGCCTGGGAGAGGAATCTGTGTGTGTGTGTGTGTGTGTGTGTTTAAGAACGCACCATCCCTGTGCACATTCGGCTGTTGTCCTTGTCGGGCTTGCCAGATATTCGGGGACCTTCCATTCTCTGAAGGATTCCCATCCCAAACAACGCTAAGTAAAGAAACAGGCATATGGCGTGTATTGGAGATGGCTCAGCATTGGCACAGGACATTGTCGTGGTGAACAGGTATCTGGGAAAGATGACAGTCCCAACCTGTTCTTTTGGAGCTTATCATTTATTTGGATTTTGTTGTCGCTGTTGTTGTGGCTTTGTGTTTATTATTATCTTAACAAAGAGAGGGAGAGTGTGCGGTTCGCAGAACTGGGCATGGGTACAACTGCACTCCAAGATGGCTCCCTGCCTGCGCCCAGAGCTGTCCTTCTTGTGAGCACTCTGGTTTTACCCTGGGTGGATTCTCAGCAATCCCTGTCCTCAGGCCGGGTGCATAGAGTGTCTGAAGGGTGGAAAGTGATCATCTAAAAGCAGGTGGTTCTCTGAAGGCAATGAGAGATCCTGGGTGTGGCTGGGGAGGTCTCCAAAGAGAGTGTAGACTTGAAAATGCAGGGCAGATTGGAGGAGCAGCTGCCCTCCTTGCGGATGGCATCCGTTGGTGGCTGTGTAAAGAGAAGTTCCGGACTGCCTCCCATTACCATTTCATTACGCGACAGCAGATCCATACACAGATCCATACGCTGCCTCTTGGATGGAATTTCCAAACACAGCAGGACACTGCGGAGTGAGCTTACCTCCTCTTCTGCCTGCTGGAAACCCAGCTCCCTGCCATGTGGTATGTCTGAGCTGGCGGCTGCGGCTCTCTCTGGGCACCCCAGGTGATAGGTGCAGCCCTTCTCTGTGCTGCTAGAGTACTGCGCAAGGTCCTTGTAGATGTGACATATTCCAGAAAGATCTCTGGAGAGACTGTACCAAGAATAAACCCTACTGAAGTATATCTCACACCTTTGGATTCTTGCTTGGGGGGACCTACCCTGAAAAGTGGTGCATGGACAATAAGGAAAGGTGGCCATCTAATTGGAGTTGTCTTTTCAGCTCTGAGCCTAGCCACCAGCATTTGAGAGATAAAGGGAATGGGATGATCTGGGTCATACAGACAGAGAAGGTGAGTCACTGTTCTATCTGCTGAGCCCATGATGGGTGGCCAGCTTGTCTCCGGTGGTGTTCTTTGGGAAAACCCAAGAGGGCTTGGGACCAGGTGCTGGGATCACTCCACCGTTGCTGTGTTATGTTCCCTTACTCATTGAGAGTCCATCTCCTTATACCTAAAACAAAAGGCTTCAATGCATTGCTTGTTTTTTTTATTTTTAAAATGACAATTTTGCTTGTTCTTCAGGCAAGGGTCTTCCTACTTTCTTTTCTTGAGGAATTAACAGATAATTTTAAAAATCATCTTTAAGTTTAAGAAGTCCAAAGGGTTGGAGACACAGAACATTATTATTTCTCCCCACTTAAACTTGTCTCCACAAATTTAGGGTGAAATCTGGGAGAGATTCCCCAGTATTTTTCAGCCCCTTTCAAATACTATAAGGTTTTTATGTGCCTTTGAGTTAAAAAAAAGTCTCATTTGGTTATGTGTGTCCATGTAACAGTCAAAACTGCAAACAAAGCTCATTCAGAGAGGATTCATCAACCAGAGCTGGCTCAGCCTGCTCCAAGTCCAGGATGTGGAAGAGTTATCATCTTTTCTCCTCCCCTTCTCTCCCGCTTGCCTTCTCCTACGCACTTTGGATACCCAGGTTTAGATGGGTCCTGGACAAATGGCTGTGGCAGTAGTGTTTCCCTTAGGCCTGGTGATTCCCCAGCCCTCTGGCGCGTCTGTGGGTCCTATACCTCCAGGCTTCTATCGCCTTTGGCCTGAGGTTGTTTTGTACTTCTGGGTGGCCTCTTGGGCTTCCTTCCATAGTGATTCACATCTATGGGTTTGAGAAACCCTCTCCATTTGCTCCAACAAGCTAGAAACAGAGCCATTGCCTATAAACTCCTCCTTACCACTCATTAGCTGTTTTTTGCAAAGCTGAGATTTGTAATGGCCTCATGTCTCACTGATTCTAAGGGACACAAGTCAGGCACACTCTGAGGCTCCACTTACTAGGATTGAAGTCAAGGACTCAACCCCTGTCCTTCCCCTATGGAAGGAGCACCCATGGCATACCCACCTGTTCTTTCCAAAGAACAACTATTTTGCAGCTTTCTGCTTTTTCAGATTCAATCCTTCTATAGCCTCAAATTGGGTCTTGGCATAGAGTTGCAGACACTTCTTTGCCAGTCCTGCATCTCAATTTGGATAAAACAGGCACTAGTCCTTTTTGTTAAATGGCCAGGTTTTTCGAGCTTCCACCTAGAGCAACGAAAACACATATTTTAACACCCTGCTATACTTGATTATCGTGATACTCTCTTCTTAGAATCCAAACTCAAATCTGTTTTTTGTTTTTTTTTTCTAGAGTCTCAGTCCTTTTTCTCTTTAGATCCTTGGTGAGAGCAGAATTTATTAGTTTTCCACTTATAATAACCCTTCTGGTACATAAAAATTGATTGAGCTAGTTGCCTCTCACCTTGCTTTTCTGAGAAAGGCTGTGTCTTTTTTATGGTGAGGATTAGACAAAGGCAGCAAGGTATTTCTAAGGGTTTTGTGTAAGAGCAGTGTTAGGTCCACAAAAGAAATGGTCACTTTACCCTGTCTTTCAGCCTTCTGGTACATATTTGGGACATCACATTATGAAGTAAATATCTTTGTGCCTTCCTCATGAACCACCTGAGAGTAGCCCATGCATGTCCTGAAGGCTTCTCTCTGAATCTTACAGTCTGCAGCAGACATTCATGTACTAGCTGCACAATTTGTTGACATTGGTGTTGATCTCTGGAGAACACTAAGGTCCATCCAGACAGAAGGTCAGAAAGCCTTAATCCCATCTATTGTCCAGACCCTGATTCAGATCTTTGCTTTTAGTGCAACTCCTGCATCTGCCTTGATGACATCTGACATAAGCATCTAACACTGGTTGGCCCTCTGGCTTTCTGGGAAGAAGATCTGCGGATTCTGAAAATGTTGTAAGACAGAAATGTGCCAGACAACACAGTCCAGAACCTTACATATCTTTAGGGTCAAGAACAAGACACATCGTATGCAAAGCAAATGAACTTTATCACCAACTTCTTCATTATTTTCTTCAACTATTTCAAAGTTATCCAGTTCCCATTTTTAGACTTTGTATCTTTAATTTCATAATTTTCATATGCTTTATTGTATAGCTTCCAGTTTTCACCTATATTCTCTAATTATCTATTTTTTAAATATATTATAGTTATTTTAAAGTCTGTGACTCAATATTTGGATTTCTGCTTTTATTATCTTTCATCTGATTTTCTATCTTTGTTTTTATTCATTTGATCTAATTTCTTAAGGTGCCTGGTAACTTTTTATCAAATGTCAGAGGTTTATATAAAAATTATGGACCTAAGTCTGGACTGTAGATCAGAAGATTATAACATTAGTCACATATGTCACTTTAAATTTTGTATTAGCCTCATTAAGTAAGAACAAAGAAATAATCAAATTAATTTTAGGATATATTTTATTCAATCTGGTATGTCTAAAACATCATTTGATCATATAACCAGTATAAACAAATTATTAGATATATTACACAATACTTCTAATACAAAGTTATAGAAATCCAGTAAATATTATGCTTATAAGACTTTTCAATTTTGACAAATTCATACCCCAAAGGCCCAATTGCCACATGTGGCAAGCAGCTACCCTCCTGGCCAATACAATGATCATGTTACAATCCTTCAGTGAGAATTTCCTTTTTTTTCTGATGTTATGGCTTGTGTTCAGATGTCCCTCCAAGCCTCATGCACTTATAGGTAGAGCTTCATCAAAAGTGGCTGAATCTAGAGTGTGTGATTAATTCATGGTGCAATGCTCAGATTAAGGGTGCTAGGATTAAGGGGGGGATGATTACTAAATCAGTCCACTGATTGGTTTGGCACCACCATAATCCTGGCAAACTAGGTACAATATAAGGGACAGAAAGAGGCTGCCATGAAACAGTTCTCCTCTGTGAAGCCACCCTGCCTTGGAGCCAGGCCATTATGAACTGAAACCTCTACAAACTGAGCAAAATAAACCTTTCCCTCTTTAACTTCAGGTGTTGGGTATTTTGTCTCAGCAACACGAAAAATAACTAAGACAGAAATTTTGTACTGAGAGAAGTGGGGTTGTTGCTGCAAATCTACCTGACCATGTGGTTCAAGAGCATTTGGGACTGGCTCATGGGAAGAGTTTGGAAAGGTTTGGAGATGCCTACTGAAAAAGTAGAGGTGGAACACCTTAAACTACACATCATGGAAGATTCTGGGAGTTCAGGAGACCAGGCCTGGGAAGTTTCTACTGGGAAGGACTGCAATGGCTGTTGGACTCTAGATGATTTATGTTATGCCTTGGCAGAAAGTTTGTCTGCATTTTTCTTGTATCCAGAGACTGCCTGAGACTGAGATTAAGGGTGTTGGACTAATTAATCTTGCAGAAGAAATGTCAAGGCAGTCCTAATGTTGAGGTGGTGGCATGGCTACTGTTGGGGGCTTTTAGCCAGATTTGTGTTGAGAATCAAGAGCAAAAAGCCCAGCAGAATGATTTAAAAGTTGTTTTGGGTTTGGTCAGAAAGGAAATTTTAGTAAAGCCATGGACTGAAAAAATAGAGTAGAGGAGATCTTGATTGTTACAAAGGAACAAGAGAATAGACAAGATGGTCTGAGGGCATGACAAGAAGCAGCAGGACTTCCTTTGCGGCCTAAAAATTGCAAAAATGAAAGACTTTGGTTTGAAAAGAGAGTCTTAGAGCACCATGTTGCAGAATGGTGTGGCCTAGGGAAGGATTTGGTTCATAGGCACTGGACCCCTATGGCCAAGAGAGAAGGAAGCATGGCTACAGCTTCAGCTGACAGCAGACCTTGGCATCATTGCAGAGGTTTTAGGTGCATGCAGAATGCAAGAATTATGGGGTCAGAAAGGCTTCCACTCAGATTTCAGAAGGCCTAGGAGGGCAGGCAGTGTGCCCCTGAGACAGCAGTGTGTGAACTTGTGAATGTGAAGCTGAAGATGCAGTGGGGACTCCAGAAGTTTGGATAAACCAGGAACCTGGATTGTCTGAGGAAAACTGCAAGGAGGGAGCAGAGTGGACCCAAGGGGGAAGCCATGGGAGCTGCAAACTCCAGCAGTGCCATAGGAGTGGAGCCACCCAAGCCCTTTGGGGTTCACATCTTGCCACACAGATTGCCTCGGATGCTGTACATGGAACTACAGGACTTAATGTTTACACTGCTGGATTTTGGACTTGCTTTGGACTCATTCTTTTGTATCCCCCTGTTTGTAACTTTTGTCTATCTCACACCATTGAATGTTGGAAGTATTTAATTTCTTTTTTATTTGTACAGGGCCTTGCAGCTAAGAATTTGCCTTAAATCTCAGAGGGGACTTTGGACTTGGACTGTTCAGCAATACTGAAACTGTTAGGACTCTGACAACTCTTAGAGATGGACTATAAGCCAGCCCATTATGTACTGAAACCTCTACAAATTGTGAGCTAAATAAACTTTTCCCCTTTTAACTTTGTGTGTTGAGTATTTTGTCTCAGCAATGAGAAAAGTAACTAAGACACCTGCTAAGCGATTCATCTTGGGACAGATTACCTTAAGTCAATCAGAAATTGAGTAGTTTTCAAGGGTTTAATTATTTCCTGTTGTTCTTACTCCTAACTGTGTCCCTTCTGAGGTCACAACTGAATGTCTGTGGTGCTTAACAGTGAACTACATTTCCAAACCCTGGATTCTAATTTTTGTCTCTTTGGTCTCTTGGACTCTAGCAGTCTTTGCCTTAGCTTCGTATCTTATAATCTCAGCCTCTAGTTGTAAATTCCAGCTGCCTGGTGTGGAAAGCAACACCAAAACACGAGTTTGTCTCTGTGCTTCTCTTTTAGAAACTTTGCAGCTATGGCCTCTTTACTATCTCTGTCTTATGTACTAAAACAACTTACAGACACATGTACTAGCTTTTAAATGCAGCTTTTCTAGTTTTTCTCAATAGGACAATTGATTTGGTACCAGCCATAGTTGAATGTGAAAGAAAAAAATAGCAACTTAATTAACTGAAACTATATTTTTTTTCTGTTTGGCAATCAGCAGTGTTTCAGGTTTTGAAAAGAAGATTTTTTCCTTCTGACTCAGCACTCAAGATCCCTGGGGTCTTAGTCTGTTCTGTATTGCTACAGCAGAATACCTGAGGCCGAGAACTTTATAAAAGAGATTTATTTAGCTCACAGTTCTGGAAGTGCAAGAACATGGCACTGGCATCTGCTCAGATCTGGCAAGGCCCCGAGGGCAGATAGTATCACAGTGGCAGAAGCGTTGTATGGAAGAAAGGACATGGCAAGACAGGAAGCAAGATATGGGGAAGGATCCAGGTTCTTTTTACAACTACCTGCTGTCTTGGAAGCTAATCTGCTTCTACCAGGCCTGACCCACACCCTGGAGACAGCACTAATCCCTTCTGAAGTTCAAGCCCTTGTGACCTAATTACCTTCCTAAAGCCTCACCCTTAAAGTCTCCACCAACTCAATACTACCATGCTAAGGATGCAACATCAAGCACATGAACCTCCAGGATCAAACAATATCCAAACCACAGCATTTTGGGAATGATTTTTCCCTCTTCTGAGCATGGTCAGATTGTGATTGTGAGACTATACCTACTAAGAATCAAGGCTGAGATTTAAACCAATCTTATTTCTGTCCTCAGCCCAAGAGTGTCCCACAACACAACCCTACCAGCCTGTGTGGAGGTAGGTTTGCTAACCTGATGTTGCGTGGTGTCACCTGAATGGCTCCGTGACAATGGGAACATGGAGAAATTACTCCATGCAAAAACTTAGAGTTTCACAGAAAGCAGGAGAGATATGAGTGAAGATGCTCATTTTTAATCCAATGTTTATTGAGATATTGCTTTATAGAGACCCTATACTTTGCCATGTGGCAGAGATAAGACTGATATCACTGCTATGAGGGAGCATCCTTTGGTACAACAGGTACCCACACTGATTAGGCAGCAGCATGCTGCCTGGGATGTAGACACAGAGTGCTATGGAAACATTACAACCCTAGGAAGCCAAAGGTGATCTCATCCACATGAATCTCTGGTTCCAGCCGCAGTCTAGCTTAGTGATCTCTGGATTGGCAGCTAGGTCTTATAATAGTTCAAGTATAAAACATTTCAATAAATAATTTTACCAAGTTAGTATGATAAAATCTTTGGTACTAATAGAAACTTTACTTCTTTACAATAAATCTTGAAGTTAGTTGACATTTAACTTTAATTTCCTATTTTTAATCCAATACAGTTTTGAGAAATCAATTTGTGTTTTCTTGAGATAAAAGCATATTTTAATTCTCTCTTTTCAGATTATTAAGAATATAGGAGCCAAGCTTGGTGCCACATTCCTGTAATCCCAGCACTCTCTGGATACTGAGGCAGGAAGATCTCAAGTTCCAGCCCAACCTGGGCAATTTAGCAAGACTGTCTCAAAAATTAGAAAAGGGAAGGGGGTGTAACTCATTGCAGTGGCCCTGAGTTCAATCATATGTGTGTGTATATATATATATATATATATATATA